AAAATGTTCATAGCAATTGTCATTTGTTTCGCACTTTGCTGGCTGCCATATCATGTTTCATTCTTTTTAATGTCCTACGACGAGAATTTCCATTGTGGGCTTCCTAAAGATCTCTATTTCATGGTGCTGTTTTTTTCGCATGCTATAAGTGCTGTAAATCCATGCATTTACATGATGTTCAACAAAGACTACCGTAACGGAGTCAAGCGCCTGTCATCTTGCGCTAGGAGATCAAATGCACTGTATCCTGAAAACAACACTGGAACTGATGTTAATTCTCAAACAGGCGTACGCGAACACCACGAGATGACCACGTTATTTTCTCGTGGCCCCAGAAGTGGAATCCGAGACGTAATGCAGAAAAGAAAACCAACAAGTGATGCTATTACAGGGAAAGCTTACGTGGTAAATTACAATCATGGGTTCGCAGAATGAGGGATTTGTAGCTTACTGAAGATTCTTATCAACTGATTTACCCGAGGAATACAATGCTTACATCTGCAAGAGGAAATTTCTTACGGATAAGCTTTACCTCATAGTATCTAACTGAATATATGCGAGTAAAGTATTTATAATGTTGTATCAAAAAGTTGAAAGGAGTGCATTGAATTGCATGTATATTATAAACAGTAATCAAATGATTTTGCTCATGCAATTTGGGAATAAATAAGCATTCCTCCGTCTGTCTGGTACACTTTTCAAAGACGTCATATTGCAAAACTGTAAAATTGACCCAGATTAAAACATCGCACCCAAATACGAATATGAAATCACTAAGCACAACAACTAACTAACGTGGAAAATATTCCTCTTATATACGCGTTATTGAAAGCCTTCGCTAACGTTATTTCAAACAAAGACAACTTATATATTGCACAGAAGTTGTCTTTTGCAGTTTTATTCCAAGCCCCAAAACAAGTAATATATATTTAAGTTTTAAATGAGAGAAAAAGAATTTAAACTTAGCATAGAGAATTCCTTACTCAGAACGAGAGGTACATTATTTACCGATCCAGAGAACAGTAGCTGAGAGGGTCAACTTATCTGTACAGGAGACCATTACTTTAGGAGTGTAAACATATTTATGCGACATAATATCATCTGCCTTTAAAATCATGACTCCGTGAGTCAAATGTTGTATATTATTTAATTGTATATGTATATTATTTAATTGTAAATGTTGTATATTATTATTTAAATT